TATATATCATCGCAACAGGCAGATATATATTGTTAAAAAAAAAAAAAAAAAAAAACAATATGCTTATCATTGCCTCTTCTCACCAATGAATCTGCCAATTCAAATTCCACTTGCTAAAAACTTCTCCATCTCAACCATCTTTTTTATCCCGCATCGCAAATATTTAATCATAGCCAACACGCATTTGATGACAGCCAGTGCAAATATATTTAAATTATTGAAATTTAAATGAACCGAGAGAAGGTACTCGGCTAAAATAACATCAATTTTCTTATCAACTGCGGTGTTATTTATCTGATTTTGATGTGGGAAACAGTGGATAGGGAGATTTTTTAAATTGGGAAAACAAAAATCCAACAATTAACACAGGACGGACATGACAAATCACAGTTGTGAATTGTGGAGTGGCCCTGTGTGTGTGTCCTCTGTTCATTTGCCAACCCTATGTTTCGGGCAATGCAGACACACACACCATACAATTGGGAACACACACACAGTGTGTATTCATGCGCCGAGTCCAATGCATTATCAGTAAAGAAACAGGAAACATTTCTCCATTTTTTCATACATCAAATCCACACAAATCACAACGAAAAATTATTATTTTCATAAACTCCATTAAATAAATTCTCTCATCAATTTGCTTGACTCTTTTCAATAATGCTGGCTTATGGCGAACCAGATTTGCTGACGCCGCACACCACTCCAACTGTATACTTCTTCTATACACTTGAATTTTTATTTACTAAATATGAATTTTTTGCACAAATGGTATGAATATCAAGTTGGCAAATTCATATAATTTTGTAAAACATACACGACACACACAAATTCCTAAACATGTATATACACATAAACATATCACAACACACAAAAATTTAATATGTATAGAATTAAGGAAGTATATATCAATAAACTCTGGAGGGGGGATTGGTTCGGTGTGTGACGGTGGGCTAAGGGATACTTTGTACCGCTGCAGGATAGTGGCCTGTGTGTGGGTCTGCATACCCGTGATGGTTTGGAGCGGTTGACGAGCATGAGCTAGTAGGCACCTTTAATGCTGCCTCGCCATGTCTCGGGCCCTCCAGGCCACCACGACCATGCATACTCAAACACTCGCTCGCTCTCTGTGCGATGAGAATGCTCGATGCCCGACGCTCGGTACTCGATGCTCGGTGTCCTGGATCCCGATTCCCATTCGTCTCATCCGACCCGGTCTCCTGCTCAACCTAAAACAGAAAAAAACAATTGTTTAAACAGCTGTGCCTGTTAACAGCGGTAAACTTGTTTACCTTTTTCAATGTTAAATTGTCCTAGTGATGGGACTTGTTAATGTGTGCCTGTAAATAACATAATGTTAAATTGTAAGTTAACAGAAATGTTAAAACTTAGGCGCTAAAAAATTCAATCAAATATTATACTAAATATGAATGTTGAATAAAAATACCAACAACCTAGCAGCACTCCCCCCCCTGCTACGCAGGCGCGGATCGGTGCACTTTATGTTGGTTTAATGCGTGTGTCAACGAGCATACGGAAAGTCAAAAAAAACTAGCAAACAAAATGTCTAACAGCCACACGCCCAACATAGTCCGCCAAGACAGCATAAATTGCAGGTCAAACGGGCTCAAAATTGCCTCATGGAATGCATGTGGCTTGCGAAATAAAATGCTAGAAATGGAGGCATTTATTCTTCAGAACAAAATTGACATCATGATTATAGCTGAAACTCACATGCGTGGCACAGACGAAATAAAGATAGAAGGCTACTACGCATACCAAGCACATCACCCATCTAATAGACGACGAGGAGGCACAGCTATACTGGTCAAGCACAGTCTACAGCATATCGCTCTCCCTCTCACTAACGCTATATCAATGCAGTGCACTGCAATTAAAATTACTCTGCTCAATGGGTCTGCTATTAACATCGCAGCAGTATATTGCCCGCCTCTGATTGAACTTGAAGATGACTTGTTTGCTGCTCTTCGTGAGCTTGGCAACAAGTTCATCATAGCTGGAGACTGGAATGCGAAAAGTTACTGGTGGGGTAATGCTAGATCCTGTAGAAGAGGTGGTAACCTTCTCAGGTACGTCCAGCAAAACAATTGTGAGATTCTTGCAACTGGGTCCCCAACACATTTCCCATACAATGCTAGACAATCGCCATCAGCCATAGACTTTGCCGTTTATAAGGGATTGCAGCGAGAACTTCTACAAATAAGCGCTACACACGACCTTGGTTCTGATCATCTCCCGCTGTTAATCGAACTTCTTGAAAGCCCGGCATTCAACAAGTCAAGGTGCTATCTACTGCCACTTAATGCGAATGTCAATCGTTTTCAAACCTGGCTTAACCAACATGTTTTGCTGGATACAGAAATTCATACAGCAGCAGATATCGAGGATGCCACAGATATTTTTGAGCGCAATATTCGAGCAGCCGCACAATTTGCAACAAATTCTCACGCAATCCAAAATCGCGGACAAGCGCAGAACCAGTGCCCACTCAGCAGATCTCTGAAACTGATGATTATGGCCAAAAGACTGCTCAAACGCCATTTTCTTGTGAATCGACACCCACTAGCCAAAAGAATCCATGACAGTCTCGCAAACCGGGTCAGAAGAACTCTAAAAGAAGCTAAGGAGAGGCGACTGAATAACTTGCTTGAGTCAATAGATCCTAGTGACCGTTACAACTTTCAAAAGCTGTGGCGACTAACAAATGGCATTAAACGGCAGCCTGCGCCAAATGTGCCAGTAAAAAAGTTTATACAACTTGGTAGCAGCGCAGCAGAAAGCAACGTGTGGTGCAAAACTACACAGGAAAAAGCGGAAGCGTTTGCTCAAAACTTAGAAGAGAGATTCAAGCCCATTATCACTGCTTCTACAACCGACAGAGAGCACATTTCGAGTCAACTTCTGCTTCCCCCAACGCACGCAGAAATGCATTTTCGTCCAATAACAGATGCTGAGGTATCAGCAGAAATTAAGGTGCTCAAACGTAAAAAGTCTCCGGGACTCGACACTATTGACAATCGGACTATAAAGGCACTGCCGTTAGCTGCTGTTCAGTATCTTACGCTTATTTATAATAGCATACTGCGCTTGGGCTACTTTCCTAACAAATGGAAGTGTGCTGTGGTCATTATGATTCCTAAGCCTGGCAAGCCACAGGAGCAACTAAACTCATATAGACCAATAAGTCTGCTGTCCGGCCTGTCAAAAATATTCGAACACCTGCTGCTAAGACGTATGTACGAATCAGAAGGGTTTATTGATGCTATTCCAAAACATCAATTTGGTTTTCGCAGCGAACACGGAGCAGACCAGCAGATCGGCAGAGTCACGCAATTCATACTCAATGCATATGAAAGGCATCAATATTGTGCTGCTACATATATGGATATTCAAGAGGCTTTTGATAGAGTATGGCATGACGGGTTACGATATAAGCTACGAATGATCTTGCCGTATGCTATATATAATGTTGTCTGCCACTACCTTGCCGAGAGAACATTCATGGTTGAATGCAGTGGTGGGATCCGATCTAGCACTAAGCAAATTGCGGCTGGAGTGCCGCAAGGAAGCGTACTTGGTCCTGTGCTCTATACGCTATATACAGCTGACATGCCGATTCCGGGGCCAATAAGCCCAACAACTGGATACGTGAGGTATATTTACCGCAACGAAACACTGCTAGCAACATATGCAGATGATACCGTCATACTCACAGTAGGCAGAACGCAGGCAAATGCAGTCAATCGAATGAACGAGTATCTTGAAATCTTGTCGGCTTGGGCCACTAAATGGTGCATCACAATAAACACAAACAAGACAGTACACGTCATGCACACTCTACGTAGCCTCCAAATGCAGCCAGATGCCCAATCTGCACATATAGGTGGACAAGCGCTACTTAACAAAACGGTGCACACATATCTTGGTGTACAATTGGATACAAAGCTGCAATTTAATAGGCACATATCTGCTGTAGTTAACAAATTGAGAACGAGATGGAAAAAAATGCAATGGCTGATTGATAGCACCAGCCAACTACCCCTCCAAACCAAAGTTATCATCTATAAGCAGCTTATCGCGCCAATCTGGCAATATACCTTGCCCGTTTGGGGGCCACTTGCAAGTCAAACACAAATGGATCGCATACAGACTATGCAAAACAAAATTCTTAGATCGATTGTAGGTGCGCCATGGTATGTGCGCAATAGCACCATAAGCAATGATCTGCAGATTGCAAGCGTAGATGACGTCTACAACGAGTCATGTGCCAAATATGTGCAGCGCCTTCTAAATCACAGCAACTTTCTGGCTAAAAATCTGGCAACAAACCCATATGTACCGCAGCGTCTAGTTAGGGAAAGATACAGCCGAATGCTACAAAGACATATGCCACATGTGCAGCGACAGCGTGAGCAGCAACTGTTAGAGCAACAGCAACGTGCAGCAGAAATTGCGGCACGCCTACCTATATATGCAAGGCCTGTTGAACGACCACTAACTGCTCTGCAGCAAAGCGTTTTAGATCGCCTTAATAGGCAAAGAAGTTACCAACAGCAGCGCGTCGAACAACGAGAAGCAGAACAGAGGCTACGCGTACAGCTGCGAATAGAGAGGCAACAAAGAGAAGAACTAGACAGACAGGAGGCGCATCGGTCATATCAAGAGTCGCCACAAATATATGCGCAAAGAGAACAGGCACTACAGCGGATAGAAGAGCGACTACAAGCAAGACGTCTGGCAATGCAAGCGTACTTCGCTATGTCACCAGCACAGCGAGAAGCCGTGCCACTAACGAGTATTTTTATATTTCCAGCGAACTCTGCAGCAGCCAATCACAGCGAAATGGGCATTTCCCCGACGACGCGCACTCACACAAACACAACAACAGCACAGGCAACCAATGCGGCGCCGGCTATCAGCTCGTCTGTGAGGCACGCAATCGTCGGCATAGCAGGGGTACAATATGGCGAGGCACTTGCTGAACTTGTCATCAGCGTCCCGTTTAGGCGCATGCAGCGCACAAATCAGTCAACTGGACAGCTCCCACTTCAATGGCGTCTGGTCGAACGGCAACTGCAACAAAGATTCAGAGACAGAAGGCATGCTACAAGAAACTATTTTCTGTTGCATACTACTAGACGACAGCGCTTAGCACGTTTGCAGCAACTCAGGCTGCAATATCCAACACAGTGGCGATCAATCTGGCGACAACTGCTCCTGCGCACTTTGTGTGCGAATTTGTGGCACTTAGATCAGCGCTGGTCAACATGGCGACTCCAGTTGGTCAGACTACAAAACATATTCCGCTGGATGACGAACAGACGACATGGTGGCAGCAGCCGCTACACGCTAGGCCTTTAACACAGGATGATCTGCAAGGGTGTATGTTTAAATTAAATATTATTTAAACAACACACAGCTACTCACTGTTTGAAGCAGTCGCTATGGTCAAATTGGCCATGTTACTCAAGCCGTCTGAAGAGTGCAAAGATGCATACTGCCCACCTTCTCCAACAATGCAGCATGAAGACAACCTGAAAAGAAAACGATGCAGCATAAATATAAGATAATCATAATTAAATTTCATTTTTACTTACCTTTAACAAGACACAATTGTTTAAACAGCTGTGCCTGTTAACAGCGGTAAACTTGTTTACCTTTTTCAATGTTAAATTGTCCTAGTGATGGGACTTGTTAATGTGTGCCTGTAAATAACATAATGTTAAATTGTAAGTTAACAGAAATGTTAAAACTTAGGCGCTAAAAAATTCAATCAAATATTATACTAAATATGAATGTTGAATAAAAATACCAACAACCTAGCAGCACTCCCCCCCCTGCTACGCAGGCGCGGATCGGTGCACTTTATGTTGGTTTAATGCGTGTGTCAACGAGCATACGGAAAGTCAAAAAACGATGCAGCATAAATATAAGATAATCATAATTAAATTTCATTTTTACTTACCTTTTACAAGACACAATTGTTTAAACAGCTGTGCCTGTTAACAGCGGTAAACTTGTTTACCTTTTTCAATGTTAAATTGTCCTAGTGATGGGACTTGTTAATGTGTGCCTGTAAATAACATAATGTTAAATTGTAAGTTAACAGAAATGTTAAAACTTAGGCGCTAAAAAATTCAATCAAATATTATACTAAATATGAATGTTGAATAAAAATACCAACAACCTAGCAGCACTCCCCCCCCTGCTACGCAGGCGCGGATCGGTGCACTTTATGTTGGTTTAATGCGTGTGTCAACGAGCATACGGAAAGTCAA